TATATATGTCATAAAAAAGCGTAGTCAGCATACCCCGTTTTGCACACTGAGCAAAGGCAGCAATTGTGGGCGTGCGGCTGTTGTGTCATATCGGTCGTCGTACTGCACCACACAGTCCCACGCGTGCTTACCCGTTAGATCACGCAGGATGACTCGAGCCACACAGTCACTAGTAGGTGAAGAGGCCGTATAATAATAAACGTAAACGTAATGAAAATGAGGTACACTTGCTGTAGACAAGCGTGTGGTATAGTAAACGCACTGAAACCGTAACACACGCGTTGGGAGAGACGAGAGTGTACATTGTAGTTAACTTATTGAAAACATAAAACTCTCACTGGAACATTGGGTAGTAAACGCAATACAATAAAAGCGTAATCTACTCATTCTCGAGTACATACCTACATACATACATACACACATATATACATATACATATATATATATAAATATATATATATATATATATATAATAATAAAATATAATAATATAATAAAATAATAATAAAATAATAGATATATATATATATGCATGTATATTGTCATGTACTTATTCTTTATCATCATCCAATACAAGACATAGAAACGGTATCCTCAATCACAAACAGAGTTGACTATGACAACGTACAGTCCCATTCTTTGGAAAGAGGACAAAATTACAAGGCTCACTATTCATTACACGCTGTCCCTTTTAAAGCAAGTGATCGTTTAGGGGTTTTAGGGTTTAGGGGTTTTAGGGTATAAAATTTCGGGTGGTAGAAATAAAGCAAATGCCACAACAAAATTGAATTAATCACATTCAGGAACTACTACAACCACTTCCACACAACAACAGAAACGGTTCGCTCGTTGTACTACATCGTCATACCCATTCTTGGTGGGTGGCAACTCCACACACGACACAATGGTTGTCTCATTGAAGACAAAGAACTGTACACCCGGAATAGACAACACAGCGTCTCGGTTCTTGTTCTTATCATCCAGGTCTATCTCCGCATCCTCACTGATTTTACTGGTTAATCTGTGGCATGTTTAGTGAGATATAGTTGTGTACATGGATGTGTAGGTAGTGTGGTCGGGGTTGGGGGGTTAGCGGTGGTATACTTGGGATATGGAATGGATGCATGAATGTATACGTGCTGTGTATATGGAACTATCGACCCTATACTGCTTCACACACACACACACACACACACACACACACACACAC